TATTAGCTTCATTAACGTAGGCTCGTTAGCCGACGAACTAATGAAAGGCACCGCAGAACCTGCCCGGAGCAGGGCAGCGGTTGTGGGCTCAGCAGGGCAGGACACAACACCCACCCACCCCCCCACACCCTTTCCTTATCGCAATCAACAGCGGGAGGAGGCGATCCAGGAGAATCCAGTGCATTTATTTCTTGCAGTATCTGAACGGGTGTTTCAGCTTTGGATGTTTAAACACATGAAAATTAATGTTCGCAAGTTTAATGACAATCAGTACTAGAAGCAAATAATTGTATAAAGCTCATAGAAAAAAAAAAAAAAAGCCAAATCAGTCAGGTCTTCCTTTTCCTGGGGAAAAAAACCAAACCAGAACTAAAACCCAAGCATTCCAAATGAAGGCCTCGTAGAAGCAAGCATACCCCCTTCAGAAAGTTAGGAACAAGTCAGAATGGACTAGCTGTGTAGGCAGCTGAAATACAAGTATTCATTCCTTCTACAAGCAGCTAATTTAACAAGAGAGAAGTTCACATGGTCTAATCAGCCAGGGAGTTTGCCAGGAACACACACCCCCACCTAAGGGCACATCAACAGTCTGAGCTGGAGGGTAGAGCTGCTGTGTGTGCTCCAGCCCAGGTACAGGAACCAGAGCCCGGGCTGAGCAGGGCACCAGTTGCAGAACAGAAGTTTAGTGCTGCCACCCACCTCTCCCACCCTTGTGTAACCATGAACTCTTCAAGTGCAAATCAAAACAAACCCAGAGCAGCGTTAACACTAAAACAAGGGCTAGAGTAGCATGAGCAAAGGGAAGTCAATGCTTCAGGCTGTCAGAACCCCTCTCCCTGTGATCTTCTTGCAGTCCTAGTGTTAACGGGCACTTCATCTAAAGGTTGTTGCTGTAATCCAGGAGAGAAAGTGAACAAACAACTTCAGAGGCTGATGTCTCACTACTTTAAAATAAAATTGACTCACCGTGGATATCAGAAATGGAGAACGAGCTTATGGCTGGTCCTGTACACCTAGTAAGAATACCAAAACTTCTAAACATAGTCATAATGGCAAGAAATACTGCTTATTTGAGTAATTAGCTACCTAAAGTGTTCTGACTTGATGCATTCACCAAACCTCTCCAAAAGTTTCTCAGAGTGCTGTGGTATTCAACTTGCTTCCATTTGTATTCAGAACGTACAAAGTTGACAACTTAAAGCTTTATTGCAGTTTGCAATAGTATAAACAAGTGGTGCAGTTCAGTCAATGTCCATTTCAGGAAGCTTCTTCTCAGGGGCAGTAGGGCCCTGCTCAGCCCCCTGGGGCCCCCCATTGGCATCTCCCTGTCCCTCCACTGGTCCGTTGGGTTCTGCTGGTTTCTGCTCCTCCTTTGGGAGTTCCACTTTGGGTCTGGGTTTTGTGACTATAGGATTACAAGTACTTGTCAATTCCTAGAAAAAAACAGAAATAAAACAGTCAGGAGATGCTTTTGTCTACCAAAAGGTGTACTTCAACCTGCTGCTGAAGTTAGCTTTTGGCACCACCAGAGAGATATTCAAGCAGAGGGCCGATGTTGCCCACCACATCTGAGATGACTACCCAACCACTGTCCTTCTGTGACAGATCCCTCACCTCAGTTTTCCTCTGAGCACAAACAACCAGTCCAAGAAACTAGGAAGACTGATGGAAACTTGGAATTATGTAGCAAGACTTACTTTAGTTTTAGCTTGTATCTCTTTAGCTTTTATAACCGGGTCCAAACTAAGACTTCTCTTGTTTTGAAGATTAAGTTTATTGTTCATCCACTCCATAGCTTCATTTGCACTCTTCTCCACTTTTGCCACATCTGCTTCATCTAGATGGTCATACTGTTCATCCTGAAACAGCCAAATCAGTAATAGCTGTGCAAGTATTTTTCTTTAATATCTAAATTTCATGCTTATTTCTTCAAACTTTTAGCTTCAAAATACTAGAAAAACCACTTAACCAAAAAGCCATTCTAGTTAGCAGAGCAATTAGACTGATGACCCACAGATCTACCCAGACAGCTGAAGTCCTACTGCTGCTGCCATTTTCCTTCCATGAGGAAGTCAACACCTGATTAAAAACAGATGGTCAGATTTTCAAAGCCAACACCCTCCCCTGAAAATATGGCAAACAAACATCAAGAGCTCAGAAGGCAGCCAGGAGGTTGCACCAGCTTTTTGCTTAAAAGAACTTCCTTAAAATTCAGACAAGATTTGTACCACTTCCTTACATTTGGAAGAAATGAAGTATGGAAATACCTTTGCTTTGAATGCCTGGACAATTTTCATGTACTGTTGAATTTGCTTCCCTAAGTCCTCAAATGCTTTTGGTCTTTCCTCTGATTCTTGAAATCTTGCCTGAATAGGTTGACCCAGAGTCTGAAACAAAGTTCAACAGATATCAACAACTATGCAGCACCACAGTATAGTCCTGCAAGATTTAACAGGGTACATCAGCATTTCTGATCTCCTCAGAACTTCTACTCTTCCCTCCCCTTACAGGGCTGAGTCTCCCTCAACCCTGTTTGGTTTCACATCTATTAAGATCTGCTTCTCATATACTTAATAAGCAAACTACATGGTTTGTCACCAGTGCTCACCTCTGAACCAGCAGACCTGAGGCAGCTCCCTAAGTGAACAAAGCTCTCTAGATCCAGTAAGTTCCAATGAAGAACCACTTACCTTCAATTCTGTCAATTTATCAATGTAAATTTGTTTGGGTTGGTCTTCCCCATCTTCATAAAGCCAGTTTTCTGTATCTTCCAGCTTCAGAGTGAAACTGTTTCGATCCTGAGGCAACACATACAAGACAGGCAGGTGAGATGGTTCTGCTGGATGGCAGAACTACATGATACCTGGAACCTTTCTGCAAGGGTTACATTTTTAGAATGTGCAGACACTTGCTGGCAAGGGCCCCAGTACCATCAGTGGAGATCTGATCAGGAGTTTGGAGTGATTCACCTGACTAACGCAGTCATCTAACCTACAATTATACTAATTATGCACCAAGCTCCTTTAGTACACCAGGGAAAGCTAATTAATAACACCAAGGGATTTTCAGGTGACCTGCTCAGACACAGGTGCCCACATTTAGTCACAATAATCCCACCTATTATGTTCCTAAGTAGAGTTATTATTTTTTTCTTTTTTTTTTTTCAAATCTTAAATTAATCCTAAATACTGACAAAGAGCCAAAACAGAATAGGTTGCCTTAAAAGTCACTGTAAAAATGCTCCTAGTCTGCTTCAGTCTGAAAACACATGCTCTGGTAGTATCTTAATTGCTGCAGCTGCTTTGGGGAACAACACCCAATATACCCTGGGTACCATCTGCTTGTACTCAGGACACATTTAGTAGGTTCTCTTCATAGCCAGAAAGGTTAAAAGCTATTTCTCCAAATTTGTAGTCTGAAAACACAGTCTAAGGAAACACAGAACATGATACAGTCGAAGGTTAGTAAATACAACTGTTCTTTGCAATGAGATACATTTCAAGACAACCAAGCCAGAAATACTCACATCTTCACTAATGAATTTCTCATAAATACTGCAGAGTTTGTCTCTCATATCATACACATATTCTTCCACTGCATTCTTGGCATCATTCCTCTCTTTCTCCAGCTTGTCCTGCATTATCATTTTACCCTGTGAACAAGTTGTCAAATTAGTCAGCTAAAAAGCTACTTATTTACATAATAGTTAATACATTTAGTACTTCATAGGTTCACATGTATTAAATACATCTATTGCCAGGACACCTCAATAGCAAAGGCTTAAGTGTGGTTTATGGAACTGTTCTAAAACACAGCACATGGGTAAAAACTGATTTCAGTTTTGGTGGTTTATCCAAACCAGTACAGAACAATCTTGTTCTGCTTGAAGAACCTTCACCCCAATAGTAGCAGCCACTGGGTACCCTGCAACTGCAGCTGACTTTGGAAAAAAAAGAAATCACCCTGTAAACTAGCTTTCCTGCAGGGAAACTCTTCAGGAAGAGTTCCAGCATTCACTTAACAGGAATAATATATTTTGGCTTCCTGGGGCAGTTCTTCACCTCAGAAAAACACATTTGTTTCCTTTTAATCTTCTCTTGATCACCCTTAGTCATGTTTTAATAAACAGCAAAATTTCTGGAGATCAACCAGTGACATTTTTGGCTTGGTCAAGCAAGAGTTTACCTCATTCTCAATGAATAAGTTCAGCATATCCTTCCCTATCTGCCACACCAACTGGTTCTCAATGGGCAGGTCCACAGTAGTAGTCTTTACTTTAGCCTTCTTGGCTTGAGGAGGTTGATCCACTTTCTTGTCTTTTGAGTCAGCCTGTGAGGTCTATAATAAAGAGATATATTCAAGGTAAAAACAGCATCACCAGCCAGTTCTGGTGAAGTCAAGCTGAGAATTCAAGACATAACAGAAAAAGTATTACTGAGTTAATGCACCTCAACATCAGAGCTACCAAGTGTGTGTTGTTCTGACACTTCAGCTGTTAAGTCAGAGACAATTAATCCAATCACTGACCTTTTCAGGGCACACTGACTGCACCCCTGGGGTGACCCTAAAAGGGTAACCTAAAAGGGTACCCTAAAAGGGTAACACCCTTTTAGTATTTAAGTCACTGAAAACAAAACTACTAATTCTTCCATCAACAGGAGAGTTCACCCATTTTATCAGTAGCAGGTCACTTGACAGGTCTGCAATTATCCATGCCATTTATGTACTTCTAAAGGTTTCATTACAATAGGGACTACCAATATGCTCAAATAAAAGCTCAGCTTCCAGAGCCATGACAAAGGCAGCAGGTAAGCTCACACACTCCATGTTCTCAGGAATCTTCCAGAAGTTTCCTGTAGAAAAAGAGAAGTCTCAAATATTAATTTTACCTCCATTTCTTCAGACTCTGCCTTGTTTTCAGGTTGGGGTTGCTGCTGTTCTTCAGTCTTTTGTTGCTCTTCCTGGTCTACTTGCATCTTCTGTAATTCATAGAGATCCAGTTTGACATGTTAAACAAAGCATATGCAGATCATTGCTTCAGTTCTTACACTGATCACTTACATCTAATCCTCTTTAGATAAAAGAAACTGAATGAAAACTGAAGTAGTCTTGAGACTAATTATAAGCTTCCAGTCTTTGCTTAGGCAATTAACAGCTCACTCCCAGATTGATTAAGAATTTAACCATGTCTCACAGTCCTGGTTTCAAGAGATCTGTTACTGGCATGACATACTTCAAATTAGTAATTTTATCACATCTTATTTCAGTTGCTGGACATGTCTACTCAAATCTCATACAAGTCTTAGAAGCTTCCCAGAATTTGGCCAATTGTGCTTCATCATAAAAGCAGTTTTCTAAGCAGGTAACAGCAATTAAGTCTATTACCTCTTCCTCTTTTGCATGCTGATCTGTTTCCATAGGCTCTTCATTCTCATCAGATTTATGAACCTCCACTAATGATGCACTTGAAACACTGAAGATACCATGGATATTTACTCTAACTTTGACTTTCACTTTTGAACTGGATCCATCTGTTTGAGGAGTGACCTTCTGAACCAAGAAGTGAGCTAAACAATCCCAGAAAGAAAAAAACATACCATTTGATTAACTTAATCACTGAATGCAAAGTAAAACCTGACTGTTGCTAACAACAGATCACTGCAAAGTGCTCAGAGGATATCAAATCCTACTCAAGTCACACCACTCAATTTTTTCAGCACTGCTAGGATACACAGCTGTCAGAAATCCCCTATAGTACGTTGCAAAAGCTGGTGCTACTTGTATCGACTGAGTATGGCCCCTTCAGGTTTGCTCCAATATTCACATGCTCTTTATTTAGTCTGTTTGTCCAACAACTTCATGTTACTCCACTCATTTTACTGTAGATCCATGACTGGAAATCTACAGCATTTGTAACAGGTTGCACTTCCCAGATTACATAATTAGACAGAAAGAAGTCCCAAAACATGTACAAGACTAACACAAGTCTAGAGCTACAGAATGGTCTTCACCTATAGCAGGATCTGGGTAAGGCAGCTCCTTGGGAGAACTGTAGTATGCCTCAAGGGTAAAAGGTTCCTTCCTGTAGAATGTGAGGACCTTGGAAAATGGAGCTGGATGGTTCTTGGGAAAGACCTCACAGTCACTGTAAAAGAAAAGAAAGCACTTGTCCAGTATGTGGGATGATGCAGCTGATAAAGTTAGGAAGAGTTTGCTAGATACTGTTGTACCTTAAGGAAAATTTTCTTTAAGTGAGCAGAGTGTCTCCCAACCTCTTAGGTTATCATAAGACTGACAGCCATGGAGGAAGTGCTAAACTGTCATCCACCCTTGGTTTTATTATCTGAAGTTGATGGTAGTAGAGAGAGTATCAACATTTGAATTGTTAAATGGGCCCTACTTGAAAAGTGCTATTTACCCTAGCTGTCACCAGTTAGATTTAAGCTGTAAGTAATCATGCTAGAAGATTTAATTTTTTTTTTACCTTAGCCCATCCTCTGCTGGTGAATTCCATCGCAAAGAAATAGGATAGAGAATCACATCTGTGATAGAAAACTCTCTCACTTTGAATGCTGGGGACAGGATAGCACACTGGAAGAGCAAAGAGTCACATCAGCCATTCAAACATCAGGTGAATGGTACTTTAACTCAGCAAGTAGCTATTTATGCTGCTTAATATGTACATTTACTCTAGGCTAAGGGAGACTAATACTGATGGACTTGGGACCTGTGTAACAAGCACTGGAAGCTCATGTGTGCCCTTCCTTTTCAGGAAGCTGTCACAATCCGCTCACTCTGGAAGGGAAAATACACAGGTTTTATTTCAGAGTCACCCTGTTGTTCTGTTTGCTATGGTCGGGCTACTGAATGTAGGAAAGCAAAAAACCTCTACGTTACTCCTCAGAGTGACACAGCACCAGGCTCTTTGCACATCCTAACACAAAATTCTCTTTTTCAGCAGATTCCAGTAGCTAGTTCACACCACTGATGAGGCAGCTGTAGACACACAGTAAACACTTGAAGGGAGGAATTAGGTAACAGAGCAAAATTAAGATGCATTCAAGAGATGAGAGCACCAATAACTAGAGTATTTACCAGTGCTTAAGCTATTCAGCACTGCCTAATCCCAGCTCAGGACACAGATTTCCATCAGCAACAATCAAGCTTTCATTTCCATCCATGTTATTAAGCAGTTGTCATATCATAAGTCTATCAGTACTGCTGAAAAAAAATAATAAAGTTTTCCCCTTGTTTAATGTAGGCCCGAGAAGAGCCCGGAGGGGAAAACATCATTCCAGGAGCTCCATCCGTTTCCAGGCACAGCAGCAGAGTATGTGTTCCACTTGGACCAGCCACACTGATCCACTGATCCAGCTTCAAAGAGCACAAAGGAATCACTTCATGCAGCTATTCTCATTCCTGCAAGTGTTTTCCTGAAGCTTATTTGAATCCATTCTATGATACACATGAAGTATCTTTTATATTACTTGTGGACTCTGGCTCAAGCATTTGCAGATTTCAATAAACACACTCACAGTTACAACAAACAGCACTTTTTACCTGCAGGGCACAACCTCGTGCAACGGCCTCATCTGCATTCAAAGTTGTACTGACTTCTTTGCCAAAAAATTTACTGATCTTCTCTTTTACAGCAGGGATTCTTGTGGTACCACCAACTATCTCTACTGCATAAATATCCTCCTTCTTTAACTCTAGAAAGGAGTCACATATTAGTTTTTACAGATTACATGTTTCTGATTTATACTAACAACCTGACATTGTAAAAACTACAAGTTTTACCAGAACAACCATTATTTTAAACCTGCTCTCCAAGCTTCTAAGCAGTAAGTGTTTCAGATCTTAGCTTGTATGAAAGAGTTTTAAAAAGCTTCTAACTGCTAAGCTGTGCTCAATCCATCAGTTCAAGTTCTGCCAAGGGAAGTGTGCACTAGGGATGTCCACCTCCAGCACATAGAACACAGACACACACTTACTGGCCTGCTCCAGCACACTGCGGAGGGGTGGCTCCACTCTTGCCAGGAGGCCATCACACATCTCCAAAAATTTGCTTCTGTTGGGAGAAGCCAGAAATAAAAGCTATAACAAACCACAAGCAAGTTAAGACTGCAAAAGCAACAGGATGACAAAACCAAGCGTCATTTTAACTACATACTGCAGGGTCTTCTCTGCCCCAGCCCTAGTTTTGTACTTATTTAGTATCTTCTCCCAGAGAAACTTGGTTCTAGTAATCTAGGCACATTTGCAACATTCCCAGCTCTCCCTCCTAACTCGAGGCCATGGACCAGTCTCCCGACTGTCACTTTGAGCAGCATCCCTGCACACTGCTCTTACACTTCCCACCTCCCTCAGGCCTAAGCACTGACACTTTATTCCAAGTTCCTTTCCTGCCTGAAGCAGCTCAAATGAAAGGCACTTACAGCTCACCTCTGCAAAAGCAACAGCCTTACCTGTTCATTGTCCCAGAGACATCTTTGTCATCCATGAAGCACTCTATGTTCATGGGGAGGTCAGAGGCATTGGCACTCATCAGTTTTTTCAGTTTTTCACACTCCTGGTATAGCCTCAACAATGCACGAATCGTTGACTTGATGTCCAGTCTGTATTTCTTGCCAAACTCTTCACAGAAGTGTTTAACTAACACCTCATCAAACTTCCTGCCTCCAAGTGTTGTATCAAAGGATGTAGCAAGAACCTTAAAAAAAAATTGAACTCTTCACTTGTACTACAATTTGTGATTACTTGAGTGAGCTAATTAGCAGTTAATGCCAAAGCATTTCTGTGTTTCAAAGATAATGCAACTTTAAATGAAAGCAAGTACCACGACATTTCTATGGAGGAAGAATTATCCTAGTGCAGCCCCAACAGAAAAAAAACAGTACAGTTCATTTTCATTCTGCCCTTGCCATTCCCAAGGAATTTCTTTTTTGAGAGCCTCATTTGCAAGTCCAGCCTATCCCAAACAATAAAAGCCACCTCCCATATCCATGGACACTGCAGGCAAAAAACTAAGCTATTCTCTTCACTTACAGCAATGTAAGTAGCAAATGCAATCACTCACATCTGATAGTTCGTGTGGATTCCAACTGCAGTAACAATTATACACATCCTAAGTGATGTCTTTTGGTTTTGATACTTTTTTAAAAGTCAAGCAAGTCTAAACCATTATTATCCTATGCCTTTTGTAGCTGATATTAGATATGTTCAAAACACTGTGGGAGAAATAATCTCCATTACCATGGACAAATTCTGGCAGCAACACAAGCGCTAAACCTCTTTGTGAATGGTCATTCTCACAAGAATTACAGCACATATAGACTGGAGTGACAAGCTGCAGGAAAAAAAGGAACAGATGCTCTCCCAAATGCTGAAAAGCAGCCTTGGGCATCCAGCCTTCCTGTAATGAGGTGACAACTTTTAAAAGAAATGTAGGAAGACAAGGCAAGGCTTAGGAGCACAATCTGTTCAGCAGCTTGTACAGTAAGCAGACCAGAGTTTCCAAGTCCTGCTTAGCCACTGTCAGTTTGAATCATCTCCCAGTTTAATATTTGATGCCTCATAAGGGTGGAACATACTTACACCCGGCTAAAAATAAAACAGGCAGAGAATAAATGTTATTAACTCTTGCAAATAGGTGCTAATTTTTGATGAAGGAATTATCTGCAAAGAACATTTGCAGACCATCCATCTTAGCTGATTCTACTCCTTAAACATATTGTGAACTTAATTATTCTCTTTAGGAACAGGAATTCATAAAACCATCACATTATTCTCAGTACTCTTCAGACTAGGTTTGGGCTCTGCACTGTTGTAACTCCCTTGCTGTCCAGCTCTGTGCTGCACTCAAAAGCATCCCTTGCACGGTTTCACAGTTTAAAAGGCAAGTCTAAGACAAGCAAAGTAGGTGATGTTTCCTCACAAGAGGAAACAGCTACAACAAAACTAATGTTTTCAGAACTCTTGCCTTGTCTTCATTTCACTACTCCATGCTTCAAAATTGGTGTTTGTTTCTCTACCAATTACAGTTATCAGAACTGCAAAAATCCAGACTGTAATCTGAAAAGAGCCAGCTAGGAAGTGTATTTGCTGGAAAATAGCAACATTTTAGCAACTTACACTTAGCAGTACACTGTAACCTGCTTGGCTTTCATTCACAGCTTCAAATAATTAAGAAGCTTTTACTCTTTGACAGTTGCTCTGGTGCTTGTGAAAGTCTGTCACTTACACCATTCTAGGAATTCCTGTTTTAATGCTCGATCTCATGACTAAACTCCAGTACTTTTTGGAAGCAGCACTCAGTCAGATATGGTAATTTCTGAACAGACCATTTATTCCAGGTTTTCATTCTTTGCCAAGGTCTGCTGATGTTTGCTTCCTCCACGTATCACTCAGCAGCTCTCTAGGTCCCTGCCCTACTTTTAACTCCAGACAAAAGTAAAATTTTAGAATATGAATTGAGCTGCCTGGATCTGCTCATGTAAAGACAGGCAGGCTTGCCTGTCACAGGCCAGCAAGGTACTGATGAACATTTCTACTGGTAATTAAAATGCATGCAGAACAGATTGCTTACTTTTAGTTTTCCTTTGTTGAATGCACAAACAGAAACTTGATATGCAGAATGCCCCATATCCACAAAAACAACATTCCGTGGCTTCTCTTCCAAGGCAGGCAGGTCTTGCTTATAGATTCCATATGCCAGGGCAACTACAGAAAGAAGAGTCAAGAGTATAGTCAGGACATCCAGTTCTGTAATTCCTTCAGATATAAATGGTTTATCAGTAAACAGCATTAGCAATTCATCTGACTTTCAAGCTACAGAAGCAGGTCTCTCATTTAGACAAAAATCCCACTGCTAAAGGAACATAAAAGAACATCAAACAGCATCAGCCCCTCCCAGTAGCTGCATTAAAACTAACATTTAAGAAGTATTTTTATACCTCTGTAAAGAGATGAAAAAACAGATCAGAGCTTAAGAAACTTTATCACATCTAATCTACTTCAAGCTTACAAACCCAATAGTAATTCCAGAGAGCAAGGATCCGTGGTAAATTAAGAGCTCTTTTATATAATAAAAATAAAATATTAAGTGAGGGAGAGAAAGGAAGGTATTACCTGCAGTTGTTTCATTTATTAGCTTCAGACAGTTGAGACCAGCAATCTGTGTGGCATCCATCACAGACCTCCTTTCTGCATCTGTGTAGAAACAGGGAACCTGCAAGGAAATCAGGCAGCTAATATTAACATTTAGAAGAGCCATCTTCAGCAAATAGTTACAAGAAGGCTGTCTAGAGTCTCAGCAGAAAACAGCTAAGGAACCTTGCAAATTTCATGTTCGTTTCAGTTGCAATGAAGAAAATATTACACTAAGACAAAGTTACTTTCAGTGAATCTTTTTTCCATTCCCTCTCACAAGCCACTCATTTTAGGAGCAAAGAGCTAAGTAAGTCTAGTTTTGAAGAAGAGATGCAAGAATCACTTTTAAACTGGAAAGGCAAATACCTGAATATTCAAGTTTAATGGGCAATTCAACGCTGCAATCTTTTCAGTTCATGATATCAACCAAATAGGTGAGGTTATTTGCCATCACATACTTACAGAAACAACACAGTCAACCACAGGCTTCTTGAGTGCATTCTCAGCAGTTTCCTTCAGTTTGGTGAGGAGCATTCCAGTCACTTGCTCAATAGTAAAGTTTCTTTCTTCTTCCATATACATGGCCTTCAAACAAAAATTGTGCACACATGTATTACACTCCAGCAAAAACCATGAGCTATAAACATAAGGAACAAATGCAAAACAGCCTTTACTAACTCTGAACAACCTTCTGACAGGTTAGCTTGTGCAGTAACACAAACACTGAAATGCACACGTCAGAATCCACATACACGGCTGCTCTGGACATAGATCATTTTTTCTTGAAGCCCAATTGCTAGACAGTGCCCAGGATGCCTTCCTCCCTACAGTTTTGGAGTAAGTTAATTTGTAACTGCTAAAAATCCAAATCAGTTCAACCATTGTTGAAAAAGAAACAGTTCTCATTTCCCCTGAAGCACTAAGTTTACATCTTACACCCTTGCAGTGTCTGGACAGCAGCTAAAAAAGCACAATGGCCAAGCACCTTGCCTTCCAAATTCACCATGGAGGGAAGGAAAAAAGCACTGCTGAAACAGCTTGTGTGGGACTGGCTTTGCAAGGCAGAGAAATTTTGTAACTGTAAATCAGTCTCACCCAGTGCCTGGAGAGCTCATCTAAATTATTAGTCCTTTATTCCCTATTAAAGACTTTCGATTCACAAGACAACAATAACTGCAGCAAGCAGATTCAAAATAAAGAGATAAAAGGAAACTTGATCAGTTTTCCTCCTGTGGCTCTTTTTCAAAGATGCCAGACTTACCTTGATGCCAGTTGAGCCTGTTGGCAGCTGGACAAGTTCATAGGCAAGGCTTGCTTTTTCAGCTTGAACAAAGGGATCTGAGAATGCACGACCATGAAATCTTTTAAAACTTTGTACTGTATTCTTTGCATTTGAAATAACCTAGAGGAAAAGAAATCTTTAATACAATGTGTCAGGGGAACACCTGAATTTCAAACAGAAGACAGTTTTGTTCTCATGCTTCTCTCGCCAGAATATTTTTGTCATTTGTGTCTTAGCAGTATCAGGTCTGTTGCTAGAAGGCAACTTCCCTCTGACTGCTGAGGTACCCTACAGGAAATAACATGTATGTGAGAAAAATGAGCCAAGATTTATCAAAAACTGATGAAAAAGGCATTTGAGTCTCAGAGAGAGAATCTTTAAAAAGATTCTTCAGATCCTTAAACATTTCAGCAAAGTGTCTTTCCCATGTGTTGTTTCCTGTCACCCCACCTTTCCATTGCGTTGTAGACAGTTATCTTTAGCAAAGATAACAAACACACTGATGCAAACTCCAGGTCCATTCAGAGACTCTCACAGAACAGCTCAAGGACCTCATAATGAAGCTTGAACAGTCAGGAGGGTCCCAAGATGATACTGACAGCTTGGTTTAACTGACAAAAGGTAGATTGTCTTGTATTAACATCAGTGCAAATGGAGAAGTGAAAAATCATGATACCTTGTTTTCACATGGTGAAAGTAAACTTGTTTAATTCTTCCCTTAGAGGAAGACAGATACCAAGAAAAGCACAGTAACTGACAGAGCAGACAAGCACTGTACCATGTAACATTTACCTGTGACTCCATTTCAGTCAAGTTCCTATTTCCTAAGTAGTCTAATTTTGATTTTCTGTAAGTTTAGTTTCTGCAGGACATACCTCATCTCTACTGGATCTCTGTATCAATGAATTTCTTTAAGCTAAGCAGACACTCAATTCCAGAAAAACATCTGTATTTAGTTTTTAGTACAGTTCTTCTGTTCTTGAATAACATGGTTGTGTCCAGTCATTTTTGTATTCTAGACAACGCATCTTCACACATCTCTAGGTATTTTAGGCTAAGAAAATTCAAGTGTTTGAATAGTCACTTCCTGTAGAGGACTTCAAAAACAATCATGTTTTATAGGGGCTTCAAAGCAACACAAGGTGTGACACAGCAGGACCCAAATGTCTTGAGCAGGATAAACCAGAACAAATTTTTCCATTCCTTACATCACAGATACCTACCTATACCAACAAAAACTCAAAAGTACAAGCAAAAACACCCAATAGATATTTGTTGTAATGACATGAGTCAAGAAAGCAATATATATTTACACTCACGTACATCCCCTTTCTGACAAAATTATGCACTTAATAGAATTCTACAGAACGTGGTCACATAGCTAAAAGCTATCATAGTGTACAGTAAGTGGAACGAGCTAGGGTAAGATGAAATACTACTGCTTAGCTATGGAATTTACATTTGCAACCTAAAAAAAATATTCAGTATTTAACTGAATTTCTTAAGAAGCAAATTCTTTTTATTTGTACTTTTAATTATGCACAAATATCAACCCTTAGATTTCTACCCAAGATGAGAAAGCAGCATTATGTGCTGAACAGCTGAATTAAGCTCAGCTGTTCATTATGGAGACAGTCATGGAGACACTAGGAAGCCAGCTCAGAGATATCTGTAATCTTCACCGATTAAAATACATTCTACTAATCTGATTTGTTTTAACTAAAGTTCTTTTACCCAAACTATGTAAAGCTCACCTGGCTTTTAGCTGCAGCCCCAATTGAGCGATTCTTAGGTCCAAAGGATATACATGATCTATAAAGGAGGAGAAAATTTTCCAGTTAGGAAGTGATTGGTAGAACTGCACTGCATATTTTTTGGTTTAAAAGTATTTATTAATATTAATTAGACAAAGGTTATTTTAAACCATAATTGGTCCATTAAGGAAGCTGGTTACTCACTGCAATGTATGCATAGAATGTTCTGTGAATTCCAGAGAGAAATAGGCATTCTAAGTTCAGCTAAAACAGCAATGTTCCTCACTGCAGAACATCACTAAACCCAGATTCACTCATGCTACTTCAAGTTTTGCACCTAAGCTATGATTGGGTAGACACTCTTTATCTCAATAATATACATAAGCCATTCTAAGGGAAACTGTTCGTTAATAAAACTGAATATTAAGAAAATAATGCCTACGTGTCTGTACCAAAGGCTAACTAAGCTTTTCAGTTTTAAAGTAAACCCTTCAAGAGCAGGAAAACAAAACCTGCAGAGAAAGGTTGGTGTTTGTGAATTTAATCTGTACTCACTGAAATAAGGCAGATTATAGAAAATAAAAATAATACTTTAAACTACCATGTGCAGCTTACAGTTCTGAAAAAGAAAGAATTTTTAAAAGCCTCCTTTTGGAAACAATTCCCAGTCTTGTTAAACCTCTTGATTTACATATTTAACAAATTGTAGAAGCCCTAACAAAATTAAATCCAGCCCTCTAATCCAAGTTCCCCATACCATTGAGGTAAACTTCTCGTGGGGGGGTTGGGGGGAGAAATTGCTGTTAGTAAAGCAGATCACAACCTACTGAGAGCACCATGATCTGTTCTCTCTAAGGAGCTGTCCTACAGCAGGGCCTATGACTTAGGGCTGCCACAAGACACAAATCAGTCTGGTGCTTAGAACTGCTCTTCCAAACAGAATTGAAGACTAGACTGATACAACTGCATTGGTTTTATGTCTTCCTCCAATTTATTAATAACTTAACAAATGAAACAAGATCCACCCTAAAGCATATGTTGCAACAGAATCATCATCTCTGAATTAACCTGTTATTATTTGAAACAAGGGACTCCTGAGCAAAGAGTGAGGCAGTTCCGTGTGATGCAGCCCCTCAGGCCCTTACGAAGGGAACAGGAGCTGCAGAGCATACAGCTAAAACCCTGATGAGCCCTGGGCAAGAAGCTAGTTATTAATTTACTCTGGTCTCCAGAAAGGAAGACAGGAATTGTTGCTTTTCTCCTGGACAAAAAAACCAAAAAAGCTATCCAGCTACTTCACTGCTAAACTCACAAGCCAGCAGTCCACAGTCACTACAAATCCACTGATCATGGAACCCTTTAGACCTGCCAGACTAAAGCCTCAAGGCAGAAGTATGTCTCAACAGAAGGATACAGCACAGTAATAAAAAATACACAGACCTGTATTACACCCTGGGGATAAAAACCTTAAGTGCATCAATTCTTCTTAAACACACTTGGCTTTATAATAACAAGCACACTTCTCCAAGGAGCTGCAGTTGGACAGATGAGATGGTTCTACTCTGCTCCTTCCCAAGCCTCCTCCCAAGTTAAGCCTGGCTCCCAACCGAGCCTCGGGGACCCAGTGCAGGGGTGCAGGGGGGGGAAAGAAAGATTTTTCAGCCAGTCTCATTCCCCAGTTCAGCTCACCACAGGAGACAGGGTTAACTTACTAAATACAAATGATACTATTACATGATTTACTGAAGGGGAATAACTAACCATGGCATTTTGAGTTGAAATACATAATCACAGCAAATGTCACCAGAGGTCTAAATGAAGCAACCTCAGAGCTCTGAGCCTCCTTAGCACACGTGCAGGCACTACTTCACACTTCAGCCTGAACCTCCCACCTGCTTTCACTTCCCTGGTAGCAGTCCTGGCCCCTAGCATTTCCTCCACGCTGAACATCAGCACCAGCTGCCCAAGATCCCTTACAACTGCTTCACTCAATCCAAGGCCCTTCATCCTTACCCAGATAATGAAACCACCTTACATTGTTTTCCTCTCATTTTTTACTAGCCTTCTCTCCACAACTTTTCCATGTTAAGACCTACCATACTCAAGAGACAAACATGTTTTGCACTGCTTTTGGACAGACAAAGTACAATTTTACAGCATTCTGGAAGAATCCCAGTGCAGAGCTGAAAGCAGATTCAGTGTGAATGTCACCTGCACCACCAGCCAAGTACAATGTGTCCAGCAGGGTTTAAATTACTAATACAAATCTTTACAATAACACCTATTTGCTAAACCTTCCCAAAACCTGTGTGTCAGCATAGACAACATAAAATAGTGTTTAACCCTGAGCACGAGGTGACTGCTGAGGAAACCCATGATAACACCTCACACAACTTCCTCCCCCCCACTACCCTATAACTCACCACTAATGCTAAACACTGAGTTTTTAAATGAGAATTTCTGTTTCCAAGACAGATACTTAAGAGTAATTCATAATTTCTTTTAATGAATGCGTTTGCTTACAGAATGGCTTTCTGCACTCCCTCAGAACAGTATTTGGAGATTAAGTCCTGCTAAAAATTCTATCTTCATTATGCTCATTTTTTTCCCAAGTTCACTTCAGCCTTTCATAACTGAATTATTTCCTGACAGATGCTTGTGCTGGATATTGTGTATCATTTGTTTCCTTCAAGAAGTGACATATGCCTTCACATCTCACATATATAAAAGCAGAACCTCAACTCCCTGAGGAGCAGATGCCTAGTACTATTAGTGAGCTGCTTTGAAATACTTTCCTAGTACATCTAACCTTTAAACTTCCACATTACTGGGAACACTTAGAGGAGACCAGTTGCTACTCTAGCACATGTACCAAATTAAAAATGTCCTTCTCCACTTATTCATTGCTTAGATACAGTAACAGACAAACAGAGCTGAGGTATTGTCTAACGAGAAGCAAGGTCATCAAGACAGCTTTCCAAACAGTTCCCCTCCAGGTCTGATGCAGTGGCAGTTCCTTTTCCACATTTATTTTTTGCAATTCATTTTTAAGCATTTTATCTCACTTCTCCCTCTCCTTCACTGCCAGTTTCTTACAAAGCAGTGCATACTTCCCTTCAGAAATGTGTTGGGAGGCCTATTTATGTAAGTTGACTTAGACCACACTTGTAAACATCGTCAAATGTAATGTGCTTCAAGACCAAGTTCACCAGCAAACTGCTATGCTAGTCAGTCCCACCCCAGGGGAGCAGATATCCGAAGCTGTCCTGGTCATTCACACCCCATTTCTCCAGCCCCATAACTCATTAATCTGGCAGCTAGCTTGAAGAGAAAGTTTAAAAGACCAAACCCTCAAAACAAGCACAATTTTTTTTTGAGATATCGTGCTGAATAAAGAAATACAGGCTGAAGGCAAGGCTGCTAAGAGGCTTTTTGAAGTGCTGACCCAACGTCAGGCCAAGGGGCTTGCACGGAGCTAAGCACCAGCTCAGCATTCACCTGCAGTTTGGGGGCACTGAGGGAAACAGGGTTTGAACTGCGGGAGAATAAACAGGTATGCTAGCACAGAATCACAGGTTGATCTGGGTTGGAAGGGACCTTAAAAACCACCTCATTCCAGCCCCCCTGCACGGGCAGGGACATCCCCCACCAGCCCAGGTTGCTCCAAGCCCACCCAACCCGCCCCTGAACGCTTCCAAAGATGGGGCTTCCACAACTTTCCTGGGCAACCTGGGCTAGCGTCTCACCACCCTCATTGTATCAGGGTATGCCAAGGCACGGTGTGTAAACTGATAGGAGATTAAGCTTTGTTACTTCCAGCCGTGAAAGATACGGCGGCTTTTCTTCTGTACTCACGGACCTCTAACCTTTCAGTCACACAAGCAAAGCCCTGCCCCGGGGAAGACACGCTGGTCACATAACGCAGGGAGGGAGCACAGAGG